GCCAGCTGTTGACCTTGCACTCAAGGGTGAAGAAGTATTACTTGTTCATTATCCACAATGTGGTTTGCAGCCCCTATTCCCTTTAGAATGCAAAGAATTAAACTGAGCAGTAGTTTTTGGATCAACTGGAATGGAGTTCGCCCTGGAACATCCCCCCCCCCTCCGAAATGCTTTTTTCAGTACTTTTTATGTGTAGCTTTTTGTGCTTTTGGTATCTTAGTTTTGCTTAAAAGAAGAAGCACAGGAAGTGGTGAAACTGAGGTATAGCTTATCAGCACCAATGTCAGATTCCTACTACACTGACTATATGGTTCTTACTACCTGTCTCATAATTGGCCAATCCATTGTATGCATGCTAGGATACTAGCCTTGACCACAGTAGGTCATTATGGGTAATTTCCAATGTACACAAGCTGACATCTACTCACACAGCGGGACTTCTTTCTTTTCTCTCCCTGCAGTCCCACAAGTTTACCCAAAAACTTCCCTAACCATCTGAAGCAGAGTTTGGGAGGGGCAGATGAGGAAAAGGAAGCCCCATTGCATGAGAATTTCTGTTCCACTCAGTGCTATATCCTTAGCAGAATTCAAAACAGCTACTGAACAAGTTTGACAGCATTTTCCCACTGTGGCTATTTTTTGCTGACAGCAACCACCCCCAATAGAAGAACACAGGAGAAATAAACAAGAACCTTTTTAGGTGATATCTTTCCTCCTCTAGCTGCCTAGTGAAGTGATTGCATGTGTGCACCTCCATGTGATGTTCTTCATAGAGTACATATGAAGCTGATGGCTTCTACTGAACCATCTGATTGGTCTATCTAATCCAGTATTTTCTACAGGGCTGTCTTTGGCTACTAGTCATGATGACGACATTGTATTCCATATTAGAGCTGACAAGCAAAGAGTTCTACTATTCATTTGTCCTGATTGTAGATGGCATCTGGACTCTGCATTGGAGAACAAAATGCTAGACTAGATCCTTTGGTCTGATCCAGCAGTGCTCATCTTATGTTCTACGCTGTCATCAGCTCCACAAAGTCCCAACCATCCCATTAACCATGAGCCAGTGTGGTATAGTGGTTAAGAGCGGTAGACTCATAATCTGGGGAACCGGGTTCACGTCCCCGCTCCTCCACATGCAGCTGCTGGGTGACCTTGGGCTAGTCACATTTGTTTGAAGTCTCTCAGGCCCACTCACCTCACAGAGTGTTTGTTGTGGGGGAGGAAGGGAAAGGAGAATGTTAGCCGCTTTGAGACTCCTTCGGCTAGTGATAAAGCAGGATATCAAATCCAAACTCCTTCTCCTCCTTCTTTAACACAGGCATGGGAAATCTCCAGCCCTCAGGCCAAACCCAGCCTCCCATGCCTCCCCATTTGGCCTGTGGGACCATTTCCCCTAAACCAAACCCACCAACCCTGCAGCTCAGATCACATGTGAGGTATCTACAAAGGACCAAGGTAGCTACAGAGGACCATTCAGGAGCTTAATGTGAACTCCTGAGTGTTCCTCTGCGGGAACAAAGTTGCACTCCTCCCGACATCAGCTGATGGACAGGGGGAATGTGTTAAGCTCTGACAACAATTGATTTCATTGAAACGGCTGCTGAAGCAGAGGCTCCTCCCTTGGTTCCCAATGCAAACTGCTTTGTACTACAGGAACAGCAAAGACCATTGTGCTGTGGTTCCAGGTGATTGACACAGGTGGATTGTCCTGTTCACCTGTTGAAACTGGCCCTGATGGGTCGAGGCACATTGGACCAAAACGATTCACCACTCCTACTTTAACAGGGCATGTGGGAAGTGAAGCTCCACACACAATCAGTCAGGTATCTTTTTCTTATAGCTGAAAAAATATAATCATGTAGTCACAGTAATCACAGAACACTGAGCTCTCTCTGTATCAAAGAGAGCAGCACATAAGCAGAAAGGCATAAAAATAAAATGTTCCGCACACATTTATTAATGATAATAAGAGCACATTTTTTGTTCTAATACAGTTTTGTTTTGACCTTGCAATTATTTCTGATGCAGTATGTAATTTAGGAAAAAGCCATTTTAATTCAAAATATAGCTCAATCATTTAAAATGATGTGATAGATGAACAATGTAATTATCTATTATGACTATGCTACCTATTGAGGAACATAACATCCAGATTCACCATGTGGGGAGGCGGAGCCGAGTTTTCTATTTTAGAAAATAATGGGTGTGGTATTATTAAGAAACTGAATATACTTCTTTAGAACACACACACATACACAGATAATATAATCGCAGAGATGTGGAAAATTTAAGAAGTGTTTCAAAAGAGCCAATAGGAGAAGGCTATTGGCTCTTATGTTCAAATTGCCCTTAAAAGATAGTTGAAAACTGTGCCACAAAGTGAGACCTCTTAATGTAGTACTCCTTTAGAAGCTTAACATGGGATTTCAAATGAGAAGATGACAGGTAAGTTCCCCTGATAAGCAAAAAGCCTGATATGAGTAATGAAACTGTGCCACCATTTTGTATTCTCTTTGTTTCTTATAAAATGGCTGCTTTTTACTTTTAGAGGTTGTCATCCACAGGAGAGTCACATGACTGGCATAAAAAAAAAGAAGGGTCAAAGTTGCAGCCTAGAAACCTGGCAACTGAGGTAAAAGAGAAACATAACCACAGGTCTGCTTGTCCTGGCTCCCACTGGATGAAGAACTCAAACTCAGGTTTACAGAAAAATCTTTAATGTTCGAAATTGGAGAGATACACAGGCAAATTGTAGTTCAAAGGCACAGTGGGTGCTACACATGGCAAGAATGCAGTTGTTTTAATTCAACAGCAACACACCCCTTGCAATCCCATTATGAGGGGAAAGGGTGGACACAACATGGCGTGGCAATGGTTCTGAGCCTTAGACTGGACAAGCAACCTAGCACTTTTCTGAGAAGTCTGAACCAGCCCCATCTGTTCATGCCAGCATTGATGCCTTCACAACCTGGGTAATGGAGGAGGGATTACTACCTCCTCAGAAGCAGAAGGACAGATGGGGTAACCCCATCTGTGCAAGAGAAGACTGAAAACTGTGCTGCTGCACTGGGTCAATAAACCCTTTTCTTGACCCGCAGCCATTTCTGATATTTCTTGGCTCCGCAGCCATTTCTGAATTCTGAATCACTTGGAGTTTACATTGAATTGTATTGTTTAATGAACTTATTTGTTTGCTTTGCCTTATATGTATGCCATCATGTTTTGGAAATGATTATAGCATTTGTAATGTTTGCTAATTTTTAATGTTACTGTTATTATTGCGAGCTGCTTTGAGCTCAACATTGTTGTTGGAAAAAAGGAATATGATGATGATGATTTTGAAAAGGTTTTGCCATGGAACCTTGAAAAACCTTAATTACATAATAGCTAGTATTGTTATAAAGGCATGTTGTGGGGACCATTTTCGTTCATATGGGCAATTTTAAAACAGCTATCTCCCATTCTGGATTTATTCATCTGTCTTGAATTCCTGCCCCCCAATTGCAATGGGCTACTGTACAGATTCCTTTCATATTTCCCCGGTTCCAATTATTTGTTGTAGTGTTTTGTGCTTTAACAACCAAGCTACAACAAGTCTCTCTGGTCTGTATGTTTATTCTAAAACACATACCCGCAACTATAAATGAAACTTTTGACATCTTTTTTTTAAAAGTTCACATGTATTTTAGTTGTCCAATCCAATTATTGACCATTACTTTTAAATGTTTATCCAGTTGGGTTATATTTTCATCTTCTGTTTGTCTGCACATGACGTTTCCAAGTACCAGAGTTTGTTAAACTTAGAAAGGTCTCAGGAACCAAATGTAGAATATTTTTTTGTTGCTCAGCTTAAACTTTTTTTAACAAGCCATTAATGAAAGAAACTGGCTCTGTCCTTATTAAATCAATAGTGCTTCCCGAGTTCTCATGTTCATGGGAGGAGAATGTTCCTTCTCTTGCTTGGGCTTCTGATTAAGCTGCTCCTGAGCTTCTGAATTAGGAGGGAGAACCCCAACCCCTCATGTATAGTACTGTTTGAATCCCAAGACCTAAATGTTTGCAAGAACATAGGAAGAGACTGCTGGATAAGGCCAGTGGCCTACCTAGCCCAGAATCCTGTTCTCCCCATGGCCAACCAGATGCCTATGGAAAATCAGCAAGCAGAATTTGAGCACTCTCCCCTCCTGTGGTTTCCAAAGCTGGTATTCAAAAGCATTGCTGCTTCCAACTGCAGAGGCAGAGCAGAGCCATCATGGCTAGTAGCCATTGATAGCCCTCTCCTCCCTGGATTAGTCTCATCTTCTATTAAAACCATCAAGCTGGTGGCCATCATTGCCTCCTGGGGGAGAAAGTACTTACTTGTATTTGGTCTGAATCTTCCAGCATTCAGCTTAGTTGGCTCTCCACAAGTTCTAGCATTTCACGTGAAGTTGACTGAAATGATGAGTGGTCACATGGATCTTTCCAGAGCTACATGATGTTGCTGGTTACCAAGAGGGGAATGGGCATGGCAGCAGAGATTGACTGCACCATGCTAATAAATGCAGCCCCTCTCACACCACTCTGCCAGCCGCTACTTCATTTAACCCCACTCTTGCATTTCCTCCTTTATAACCACATGCAATAGCCAACTAAAGACAGTGTTTCATGCAACTGATAAAGTAGACAAATCTGCAAAACCTTATACCATAACAAATTGGCAGCCTTTCAGGTACTACTACTGGCTTTATTTATTTATTTTTTAAAAAATGTTTAGGGGTACTATTCCGTCTGAGACGCGGGAAACACCATGACAGGAAATGAGGCTGCCATCAGGGGTAGTAACGGAACTGACGATTCACCATGCTAGAGAAGAAACTAAAATTTTTAAAAATTTTAGTTTCTTCTCCCATTAGATTCACAAAATGTTTAGGGATATGCATACCCCTGTGTCCCCCCAGAAAAAGCACTGTGTGTGTGTTGTACATATATATCATACTTATATATCATGCACTGTACACACACACACACACACACACACACACACACACACACAAAATATATATTTGTGACACACACGTGTGTGTGTGTGTATACACCCACACACCAACTTTTTTTCCAAGGAGATGAAAGTGGTGTACATGGTTCTCCTCTTCCCCATTTCATCATCGCAACAACCCAGGACCTTCACAGTTGAGTGGGGATTCAAACCCTAGTCCCGAACTCTAACCATTACACCACACTGGCTCTTACCATGGTATTTGCAGAACCAGAAATGCAGTTAATAAAAAGAAATCCAGATTACCTTACCTAAGGAATGGGATCTGAAATCTATCCTACATTCTGTTCTTGCATTCCTGTATTGCAGGGAATTGGACTCGATGACTAGTAACGTACCTTTCAACTCTACAATTCTGTGATCACTCAGGTGGCAGGGTTACTGCTTTTGCATGATTTCTCACACTGCTTCAGATATGCTGGTGTCCAAAACAAAAGTGATAGGGGCTGGTAGTGAGGTTTGTTGCCAAATCAGTGTCTTCCCTGAGGGCTGGTCAGTGCTGGTATTGAAAGTAATCATGGCACTGTTCTCTCCTGCATGCATTTCTCAGGTTCTACAGGGACATGAAGATATGCCCAAAACAACAACCCAGACAATGTCTTTATTAAATACTTAAGCTGTCCATTGCTGGGTGGGTGTGGCCCTATAATTACATTCCTTACCTGTCACAGGAAAAGTTATATAAGATAAGCATCAAAGCAGAACACTGTCTGACGCCTTATGTCCATTAATTAGGAGCGATTTGATATTTTAATAAGGACTGAGTAAATGCTTTCAAGTTTTGGCCTTTGATGCAATGCTATGGGAGGACCAAAAATGTGTGTGTGTACACACATAGCTATTATCTTGTCCTTATTCAAATGAATGGCCTAGATGGAACATTTATGGCTATCTAAGATCTGCTAGGATTTAATTTTACAACAGTTTGTAAAATCAAGATAATCGTAGTACTCTAATATATCAGCCCCCCCTTTTTTACAGACCTGCATATTTTATCACCAAATACTCCAGAAAATACAGCACCAGCTTATAACTCTTTATAGGATATATCCCATCATCCCTGACCTTTGGACATGGCTGACTGGGGTGATGGGAGTTGGACTCCTACAATATCTAGAGAGTTACAGGTTCTCTAACCCTTTGATAAACTGTCTATGCCATACCACATGGGTAGGCAAACTAAGGCCCGGGAGCCGTATCCGGCCCAATCGCCTTCTAAATCCGGCCCACGGACAGTTGGGGAGTTAGCGTGTTTTTACATGAGTAGAATGTGTCCTTTTATTTAAAATGCATCTCTGGGTTATTTGTGGGACATAGGAATTCGTTCATCCCCCCCCCCCCGCCCCAAAAATATATATATATAGTCCGCCCCCCCACAAGGTCTGAGGGACAGTGGTTCTGTCCCCTGCTGAAAAAGTTTGCTGACCCCTGATACCATGTACACAGGAGAATTTTCCTGTGGGTTGTATCTCATAACCCTACAACTGTTGTGTCACACTCCCTTGACACCCTAGAACTGAATGGACTTGGGTCTTGTAAATGTACATTGACATGTTTCTGGAATGATGTGTATTTTGTAGGTCATGCTGCAACTCAGGTCTGCCTTTGTAAACTAGTGATTGTAAAATACATTAGGGAACTGCAGTAAGTATTAGTTTGGTATGGAAGCAAGAGTAGTGCAATAAATTCACTTTGAATTGGTCATTATCTGTTGTTGTCTTTGTATGAAATATAATGTCCTGCTTTTCCACCACCAGATCTACAAAGTGCCTGACAATTATTCTCTAGCAAATGAAATGAAGAAAGTTGCATCTGACTGAGTCATAGAGAGCAATTCAACATAGAGCTATGGCAATCATTCCAATAGTGCAAGCTTTTGGGCTTGCCAGAGGGAACAACCCCATGTGCTGTTATCCAGCCCACCCCAAGTTAATTGGAGTTTTTGTGGGGCACACAGGGGAAGAAAAAAGAGAAAGTGCTGTTGCATTACCGGAAGTCCTTGCACAGGCTTCGTCTAGGGGGATGCATTAGTTGAATCCAGCTGATATTCAGAGTATACCATTGAAATCAATGGGCGTAAGTAAGGCATTACTAATTTAAGTCATTACTAACGTAAGTCCACTGACTTCACTGGGTCTGCTTCTCAGTATGACTCAGATACAACCCAGATTGAATATTTCGAAAGGGAATAATGGCCAAATTCTTGTTCAGATGTTGGTCTTGTCAATCGTTTTGCACGGACATTTCATTCTGAAACAAGCTCACTGTTGTACTTCCTTTCAATCGATAGAAATTATTTTCTTAAAAGAAAATCCATGCTAACTCAATTCCTCAAGCTACAAAAAAGCACAAGTTTGACTCTGTCTTATAAAGGAAGATGAGGGGGTGGGGAGACAGAAATTTCATTACTCGAGAATGAACACCTTGGATTTCTATACCAAGTAAAAGTCAGGTGGTTCCTGCCAGTAAATACAGCCATTAAGTGATCAATTTTCAAGGGTAAGCAATAATGAATTGTATGTCATTTTTCATGGGCCTTCTTTTTGAATAAGCAAACTGACATTATGGACATACAAGTAAAGGTGCTGAATAAATACAATATATTGATATTGTGTTGTGACATCTCTTCCCAGCATGAGAACTTTCAGCTCAAAGTAAGCCCAGGCAAATCAGATTCTTTCGAAGACTTTCTACTAGACTGCCTACAGTCAATTTTTTTCTCTAAAGACTGGGCTGTTATCTTAATTACTTTAGCTGGCTCATAAGATGCTGCAATCAGTATTTTCACTGATCCCTTGAGTAAGTAGGAAATTGTAAAAAAGACAAAAAGCAGAATTAGCCCATTGCATAGCTAACTGCTAGTGCAACCACCCACTATAGTCTTAAGGACTATAGTTTGTGTAATGGCTGTTCAATAAACACAATAAATCAAACTGAACTTAAGGACAATAAACCAAAATGCTTATCTTTCAACATTAAAGACAATCTGAGCAAAAAATCTCTTAAGATCAGAATACATGAAGAGACTTGTTGGATCAGAACACTTAGCTCAGCTTTCTGTTTCTCAAAGAGGCCATCCAAATTCCTCCCCAAACCACTTATGTCCCATCTCTGGGGACCCCTCCTTGGCCACTCCACCAAGTTCAAAGGTTACGACTCACCAGTGATCACAGGCTCTGCTGTTGGCCTCAATCCAGCCTTAAAAATGAACTGCCAAAGTGGTACTTGAGTCAAGGAAGGACAAAAGGGGTAGATGAGTTGGGAAGATTTTAAATCAAGCTGAGAAACAATTCAACAAGCTACATCTTCATGGCCCTTTGATCTTACTATCAGCAAACTAATAAATAGGATTTCGAGTTTGAAATTTGGTTTTAGATCTTTGGGCAAAAAGTGGGGTATTTTTATTTTTATTTCATTTTGGAAACTGCTAGTTTTGCATGTAGTACTCTGCACCAATATTGCCATCAGTGTAGGAAGGAAAATTCAACACTTGGTCTTACATGATGATGATGATGATGACGATGATGATGATGGTGATTTTTTTATTTATACCCTGCCCATCGGACTGGGTTGCCCCAGCCACTCTGGGCGGCTTTCAACACATATAAAAACATAATGAAACATCAAACATTAAAAACCTCCCTATACAGGAGTGCCTTCAGACATCTTCTAAAAGTTGTATGGTTACTTATCTCCTTGACATCTAACTGGAGACATACCACAGGCTCTCTCTGCTTTTCCAGACTGCCACTTTTGCATCCAGCTTCCAGCTTCCAAAACTCCCTAATCTCTCTACTCTAAACTCTGACTTTTTCTGTTGAGGGAGAGGTCTCTACCAATTTGTCCTCTTGCATGAGTCCCTTGATCCTTTGTTCTCTTAATGGGCCTTCACCCAGGATGCTAGCCAGGCTTGATTAGCTTTTAACATTTGCTGGATCCAAGGATTAGAAGTCAGGCACCCAGTTTAACACCCCAGGCCTTGATTAAATTCTAATACAATACCTTTTTAAGTCACACTGGGGGCAAGTGCTTTTCAAAAAATGTTGGCATAACACGAGCATTCCTATTTTTGCAACATTCAGTTCTTACAGATTATCACCTTTCTGAGCACATTTTTCATGTCTCTTTGAAAACTCTCGACAGTCCCTATTCATCAAGAACACTTACTAGGTTTGGCAACTTTCCTTCTTTGTAGCTATCTCATCACATTGGAAGGCAACCAACAAGGTCATGTAGGAGGAGGTGAGCTTGCATGACTCCTGTCCTTGGGTGGAATACAATCCAGCAGAACTTTCATTGGTCGGTCATGTGTAGCAGCAAACCCTCCATAAGACAGTACTTGAAATGATTTGGCAGTCCACAAAAACAAGTAAACTCTTGCTATAATCTTGAGTTTCTGGATGAGTTGTACTGCACATGATATGCTACATTACATGTGGGGATCAGCACATAGTTGAAGAGGAATGCAATACCTGTTCTTATATGGCTAGTAGGTCTTTGCGATGGGCAAAAAAAAATAAATGAAAATGAAAAAGAGTAGTAGTTGATTCTTCCTAAATACAGGAACTGCTTCATGAAAATTACTGGTACTTTCAGTGTGACTGAAGATGGTGTCTCACAATAGAATATCTGAATGATCAGCTCTGGGCTAAACCTGGGGAATTATCTTTTAGAGCCACTTTAGAGCCACTAAACTCATTAGACATGCAGTGAAGCCTCCATCATGAGTTATGCTGATTGCAGCAATACCATTGTCAATCAGGACAACCTTAGAAGCCAGCTGCTGCCACTTTTAAAGCGGCCTGCATTGATGTTTTACTTGTGGTCAGCTAAGCTAGCTAAACACTAAGGGACTGTAATCCAGTACATTTTAAAATGCTCTTTTTTGGGTTTTGTAAATGAACCTTGGAGAATGGTGTGACACAGGACACATCCAAAAGTTGCATCATTTCATCCATTTAAATAAATAACTACATGGATGCTATACATTAAAGGGCACTTACCACTCTCTAAAACAGTTCAAGAATAATGCATCTTGTG